CAAGATTGCTGAGAGAAATATCAATGACCTCAGATATGCATATGATACCACCCTTATGACAGAAAGTGAAGAACTAAAGAGCTTCTTGATGAAAGTGAAAGAGGAGAGTGAAAAAGTTGGCTTAAAGCTCAACATTCATAAAACTAAGATCATGGCATCTGGTCCCATCACTTTATGGCAAATAGATGGGGAAACAGTGGAAACAGTGGCAGACTTTATCTTTTTGGGCTCCAGAATCACTGCAGATGGTGATTGCAGCCATGAAATTAAAAGATGCTTGCTCCTTGGAAGAAAAACTATGACCAACCTAGACAGCATATTAAAAGCAGAGACATTACTTTGCCTACATAGGTCTGTCTAGTCAAAGCTATGGTTTTTTTCAGTAGTCATGTGTGGATGTGAGTTGGACTATAAAGAACGCTGAGTGCCAAAGAATTGATGCTTTTGAACTGTGGTGTTGGAGAAGACTCTTGAGTGTCCTTTGGACTGCAAGGAGATCCAACCAGTCCATCCTAAAGGAGATCAGTCCTGAGTGTTCATTGGAAGGACTGATGTTGAAGCTGAAACTCCAATATTTTGGCCACCTGATGCAAAGAGCTAACTCATTTGAAAAGACCCTGATGCAGGGGAAGATTGAAGGCAGGAGGAGAAGGGGACGACAGAGGATGAGATAGTTGTATGGCATCACCGACTCAGTAGACATGAGTTTTGGTAAGCTCCGGGAGTTGGTGATGGACAGGGAGGCCTGATGAGCTGCAGTCCATGGGGTTGTGAAGGGTTGGACATGACTGAGCGACTAAACTGAGCTGACCTGAACTCCCATCAGTCTATCAGCGTATTTCTCAACAGAAACTCTACAAGGAAATGGACTGATATATTTAAGGTACTGAAAGGGAAGAAACTAAAAACCAAGAATACTCTACCCAGCAAGACTCTTGTTTAAGATTTGATGGAGAAATCAAAAACATCCAGAGAAGCAAAAGTTCAGAGAATTCAGCACCACCAAACCAGCTTCACAATAAATGCTAAAGGAACTTCTGTAGGCAGAAAATTCAAGAGAAAGAAGAGACTTACACAATATAAACCCAAAGCAATTAAGAAAATGGTAATAAGATCACATATATTGATAATTACATTAAATATAAATGGATCAAATGCACCCAAAAAAGACAGAGACTGGCTGAGCAGATGAGAACATGTTGCATGGATGCATTTCCACTTACCATGTCACTCTGCTTGATCCCCCCAATTGTATGTGATTATTGTATATTAATTTAATTGTGTTCCCTTTATGACTTGCAATTTTAATTATATTTTATTTTTTGTCTGGCTACTGATTTATTTGATAAACATCTTTTACTATTGTGATTATGTAACCATTACTCATATAATACCATTGTATCATGATTGGTCAATAGAAAAATATTAGAAATCTGTATCATCAAAATTGCTATTTAATACAAGAGCCTGTAATCACATTTTAAAATCCAGATGCATATCAAAACTATCTTGGAAGTTTTTGAAAAATATAAATACCCAGGTATTGTGTGTTTTGTTTTTTTTTTCCTGCAGAACTCCAGGTGTTTCTAATAAGCATCCATGCTTATAAACAATTGGACTATATGGTGATCCTTTATTTTTACCTAGCTTGTTTCACTTTCTCCATTTCATATTCAGTACCCCCGTTTCATTTATTTGTTTCCCCATTTCTCCATCTTTTTTTATTGATGTTCTTTCTCAACTGCTTATCAAGCATAGTAGAAAAGCTTGTGTCTACATATATATATATAAATAATATGTATAATATATGTATTTTAGAAAACTTAACAATTTTTGCCTAGCTAAAAAATTTATGACATTTTGATTCCACTTGTTTGACTTAGTATGAATAGAATGCTAGATGTCTAATTAAAAAAATAGACATGCAACAAGTAACAGAGGTTTACTGTATAGCACAGGGAACTATAGTTAATATCTTGCAATAACCTTTAATGGAAAATAATTTCAAAAATAATATATATGTATAACTGAATCACCTTGCTGTGCACCTGAAACATTGTAAGTCAACAATGTCTCAATAAATACATACATATATAGATATACATATGTGTATTAAGAAAAAAGTTAAGAATAAACACTTCAAAAAAAGAAAGAGGTCCAACAGTTTAACAACATAGTACTAACAATGACATCCCTCTTGTGTGGGTGTCAGGTGTTGGGAAATGACCTTACATGATTTTTCCCAATCACTTGTTCTCAGAGGTTCTCAGATGGTCTTTTGCAAATTCTTCTCAACCCAGCAAGTTAATATCACTACTTCTTTGTTTCCGAGTTTAATAATGGAATCTCTCTTTCTCCCTCTCATTTAGACACATTATCATTATTTGGGGAAAAAATAACTTTCTAACTATCTATTTAACAATGGGCCACATCACAATAACCTTTGCACATGGTGACTTTAATTGGGGGCACGTTTTTTGCATGCAGTATAATTAAGGATTTATTTGAAATACCTTATGTTATAAACTGAAATAAACTTGGAAAACTACAAAAAAAGAAAAAAAGAATAAGAAGAAAGATAGAGATTGTTTGTCTCAATGCTGGGGACCACAACTTACAACCAATAGATGATCAGTAAATGCTTGATGAGTGAAAAGGTCCCCTCTTCTTACCTGTTAGAACCTGAGGCCAAGAGAAGTGACTGGCTCAGCTCTTCCAAAGCTCTGTTCCAGCAGAACCAGGACATCCAACATCTCCACCTACATCCCAACTCCCTGTTCAATAATAGTTTTTAAATGTCTACTTATGTTTAAAAATGGCTGAAATCCTCCTCATTATTTCTTAATGGCCTTTAGTTTGTAAGGCAAAACTATTAGGTACCAAATATTTAACCCACATAAGCACCAAAATTTGCCTTCCATGCTCAGCTAAACCCCAGGGAAATGTATTACATGTCTGACAGTTTCATTTCCTTGATTGACAGACACAGAACTTGGAAACTTAGTCTGATTCTAGGAACCAGAGCTTCCAAAATATCAATATATGTGGTTTTCTCTTCATGTGATCACAGCAATAAAGTCCACCATAAATAATCTATTGTAAATTTTACTTTGACAATAAACTATAGGAAAGAGTTCAACTGAATATACCACTGAAGGGGTAAATAATTGATGGCCCTGAAGCCTTTTGGGCAAAGCAGGCCTATAATCTTTGCAGTATAATACTTATTTGGGCTTCTATTTTCCTGAAAGAATGAGATTCTGCTAAGAGATAGAGGAAGAGGAGGAAGACAAGTATCAGTGTGCCGACTGCTCTAAGATTAGTGACTTTGAAGATTTAAACTTGATCCCAAATCCCTGAATAATAACTAAATCAGCATCTGGAGAAGCCTACAGGTCTTGAACATGAAGAACTTGGTTAACTGTGGTCATGAGCACCCAGAGGTTGAAATAACAGAAATCTAGTCCCACTTAAGTCTGCCAACTTGATGACCATAGTTTTTACATTAAGTGACAAAGTGAAACAACTTCACAGCCATAATAGTATGGAATTCTCCAAATACTTCCTCACTACAGCTTCATAATAAAATGAGATCTGTATGGGCCTTTGTAGTTAACCATTCTGTGCTTGGCTTACTTCCTGGACCAAACAATATGTTTTGAATACATCTACACAAGATACTTCCCTGAATAGTTTGTGTTAATCTTCACAAGAGTCTGGTGAAACAGGAAGGACATGTGAAATTACTCCCATTTCACAAGAAAGGAAGTTCCCAGACAGCATTTCCTCAAAATCAGTAGAGTTCACTAGTCACCAACCATGAGCTAAGTGCTGTGAGTATATTAATAAGCTTATTTCTAACACAGTCAAAAAGTGTATTAATAGAATCCCCATTTAGAGATAAGGAAACAGACACAAAGAAATTAAGTAACCAGCACGTAAGAATTATATTAATATAACTATAACCTGCTATTACCATTTGTAACTAGCACCAGGACTGAACCCAGGCAGCTGACTTCAGGCAGAGTTACACTTTTACACAGAGACAGACCACATCCTCCCTTGAGATTTGCCTGCCCAATAGGATCTATCTGCTTTGGCCTTAGTCACATGGTGAATTGATGGCCAGGCCAAGGCTACTCCTGTCCTCCCTCCAGTCCACATACCTGCTTCAAGAAGTCCTGTCAATCATTGCCTACAAAAACAAAGCTGCCCTGGGCCTCAGCACAAATCCAACCAACTGAACAGAGGGGCATGTACACTGATGAACTAACACTTCATAGAAACCCAGGTCAGGAGGCTACCTTCAGAAGCAAAACAAGTCAAAGGCCTCAAGGTGGAAGAAAAAAACCACTGAGAAACCTCCAGGGACACTCATATTGAGAAACTTACTACTGAAGATCCATGTGCTATATACTATAAAGGGTCCTACATGTCACCAAGTGTCCACTGTAAAACTATAAAGTTAGTTTCTTTGAAAAAGATGCTTAACATTTTACCAACTTGGTATTTTAATGAATTTTTATTACTATTTTTATGTAAACCTCAATGCATGGGCATATGTCAGAGTTCTGTGATTCCAGAAATGGATGGGAAAAGAAAGAAAGAAACACACAGCCTGTCTCTTGCAGATTCATTGTAAGAAGGTCCTATCTAGACAACAGCCTAACTTAACACTATATGACACAGCCAGCTTTTAGCAACTGGCCAACAACATTAAAACATGTTTGCATCTAACATAGGATATTTTATATGCCACATAACAAATGTGTTTCTAAATCATTCTTCAAAGTGAAAATTTATCTTTACACACACACTAAAATTAGAATAAAAATTTATATGCCCCTATATTCAGATCAGTAAAGTTTTTTGTAGAAAATAGATCAATATGCACAGTGATTTTCTTCTAAGTATCTCATCCATTTTCAAATATCAAATGTAATCAGGAACTAAATGCATTAATAAGACATACTTACTGAGAAACTTGGTGTATGACTTACCTATTGGATTTCTATCAAAGAACAGCATTGGAGCTCTAAAAATGGACTCCAACATTTTCTTGTGCAAAGTTTGTGAAGAATTAACAAGGACGTAGAATATCAACAGAGATCTTGTGATGCCAGAAAGGATGGTACCTGCAGTTAGAACTGAAATAAAGCAATATCACTCAGCACAAGATCTCTGCCTTTCCTTCAATTATGCAAAAGCATGGCAGACAGTTTACAAAAATGTTATGTGTTTTATTCTACAAATATAGTTTATATATATATTCACCTATAGACTATAGAATAAATATATAATGGATTCTATGAGAGTTTAATACATTCACTAGGTACATTTACAAAGAAGAATATAAAAATAAGTATGGTTCTCTTACTAAATAGAAAGAACATGAGAAAAAAAATCAGGTGTAAAATACAATTCCAGCTTTTCCTAATCCAATTACAAGTACTACTAAAAACCCAGAAGAAGGAAAATGATAAAAAGTAGTATCTTCCTTTTGCCATATTTCAAATCTCATTATTTAAAACATGACCCATAATCTAAAATTGAGAAATTTTTTGATACAACCATGAATTAAAAGGGAATAGGAGAGATGACCTACCATTTCCTTATAAATGGTAAATATATATGGAAATTTACTTCCATGTAAAGTAACTATTTCCATGCCCAAGCAGCTTTAAAGAGTATAAAAAGACCATATTAAGTTGCAAGCAGACAATCTCTTCAATAATTGAATTGCAAGAAAACATGTACTATATTTTACCATGAGATAATTAATTAAAATGAGCAAGTAATCTCTCACTAAGTGTTTTATAAAAACACAAAACGTGGGGGTGGTCCTAAGATGGTGGAGGAATAGGACGGGGATACCACTTTCTCCCCCCAAAATTCATCGAAAGGTCATTTGAATGCTGAGCAAATTCCACAAAACAACTTCTGAATGCTGGCAGAGGACACCAGCCATCCAGAAAGGCAGTCCATTGTCTTCAAAAGGAGGTAAGGCAAAATATAAAAGATAAAAAGAGAGTCAAAAGAGGTAGGGATGGAGACCCGTCCTGGGGAGGGAGTCGTGAAAGAGGAGAAGTTTCCAAACACCAGGAAACCCTCTCACCAGCAGATCAGTGGGGAGTTTTGGAATCTCAGAGGGAAACATAACCAGGAGGAAAATAAATAAATAAATAAAACCCACAGATTACGTACCTAACCGCAACTCCCAGCAGAGAAGTTGCCCAGATGCTCACGTCTGCCACAAGCAAGCAGGGGCTGGACAGGGAAGCACAGGCTGCATTGCTTAGGGTAAGGACCAGGCCTGAATGCCCTGAGGACAATTTGAGGGAGCTAACATGAGACAGCAACCCAAACTGTGGGATAGCCAGAAAGAAAAAAAAGAAAGAGAGAGAGAGAGAACTTTCCTGCGAAAAGCTCTAACCTAAGCACTGCCAGGCCCACTCAAAGAACAAAGGACTGAGTGAATACCAGAGGAGAGTTAGCCGGCTGAGGACCTGCTCATCCCCCACCAGAGGCAGATAGGCAAGCGGGCAACAGTCAGAGCCGGAAAGGGGCAATCACGGCCCCAGTGACAGCATCCTCCACCAAACTGCGAGCAGGCTCCCAGTTGCTAACCAAATGTTCCTGAGATCCTGGACGGTTGATATCCACCAAGAGGGCCGCAGCCAGAGATCAGCTCCCCAGAGGAGACACACGGCACATGTGGGATGGTGCTCCCGCTGCGCTCCCAGGAAACCAAGCGGCTGGGACTGGGGAGGTGATAAGATGCACTGCACACCTGGGGAGAGTGCACTCACCAAGCACCTGGTCACCAGAGCTGGGAAGGGCACAAAACGCAGGCCCAACCAAGTATGTGCCTTTGTGGAGTACCCGAGAACCTGAACCTGAGCAGCTTAGACCTGGGGCATGTATGCAACCCAGGGCCCGCTTTAGATAGTTCCCCTGCAGAGCAACCTAGAGCCTGAGCAATGTAGACCAGGAAGGCACACACGCCATGAGCGGGGAAAACACAGTGTGGCCCAGACAATGCGAGCGCTCCCCACACATGCCACTGATATTTGTTTGCAGTGTTCCTCCCTCCCTGCAGCACAACTGAACAAGTGAGCCTAAATAAGTGATCACCTTCATCCCCTTGTGTCAGGGTGGAAATTAGACACTGAAGAGACTCGAAAACAAAAGCCACCAAAATAAACAGAGGGAACTGCTTTGGAAGTGACAGGTGCAACAGATTAAAACTCTGTAGTTAGCACCGACTACATTGGAAGGGGCCTATAGACCTTGAGAAGAAGTATAAGCTGTAACAAGGAACTATCTGAAACTGAACTGACCCCATACTGCCCGCAATAGCTCCAGAGAAATTCCTAGATATATTTTACTATTATCATTTTAAAATTTTTTTATTTTAACTACTTTATTACTCCATTAATTTTCATTTTTATAACCTATTATCTTCCAAAAAAAAGAACTTATTTTTAAAGCAAATTTCATATATGCTTTTTATAATTTTTCTGACTTTTTTTAAAAATATTGTATTTTTGAGAGTTTAACCTCTACTTTTGATTTTTAATCTTTGCTTTTTGGTATTTGTTATCAATTTTGTACTTTTAAGAATCCAATCTTCAGTACCCATTTTTACTTAGGAGTGTGACTACTGGCTTGATTGCCCTCTCCCTCTTTTGACTCTCCTTCTTCTCCCCCAGATCACCTCTATCTCCTCCATCCCCTTTCTCTTCTCTACCCAACTCTGTGAATCTCTTTGGGTATTCTGAGCTGTGGAAAACACAGGGAACTGATTACTGGCCAGATCGCTGTCTAGCCTTTTGACTCCCCATGTTCTCCTCTTGGTCACCTCTATCTCCTTCCTCCCTCTTCTTTTCTCTATGTAACTCTGTGAACCTCTGGATGCTCCAGGCTGTGGACAGCACATAGGAATATGATTACTGGCTAGATTGCTCTCTCTCTCTCTCTTTGATTCCTCCTCTTCTCCTCCTGGTAACCTCTATCTCCCTCCTCCCTCTTCTCTTCTCCATGTAACTCTGTGAACCTCTCTGGGTGTCTCTCACTGTGGAGAATCTTTTCTCCATTAACCTATATGTTTTATCATCAGTGCTGTATGGGTGGAGAAGTCTTGAGGCTACTGTAAGAATAAGACTGAAAGCCAGATGAAGGAGGCTTAAATCCAAAACCTGAGAACACCAGAAAACTCCTGGCTCCAGGGACATTAATCAACAAGAGCTCATCCAAAAGCCTCCATACCTACACTGAAACCAAGTTCCACCCAAGAGCCAACAAGTTTCAGAGCAAGACATACCAAGCTAATTCTCCAGGAACACAGGAAAATAGCCCTAAGCATTAAAATACAGCCTGCCCAAAGTCACAACCAACCCATAGATATGTCAAAGCTCACTACTGGACACTTTATTACACTCCAGAGAGAACAGATCCAGCTCCACCCACCAGAACACCGATGCAAGCTTCCCTAATCAGGAAACCTTGACAACCCACTTGTCCAACTGCACCTACAGGGAGGAACCTCCACAATAAAGAAGAACCACAAACTTCCAGCATACAGAAAGTCCACCCCAAACACAGGAATCTAAACATGATGAAAAGGCAGAGAAATATTCAGCAGGTAAAGGAACATTATAAATGTCCACCAAACCAAACAAAAGAGGAGGTGATAGGGAGTCTACCTGAAAAACAATTCATAATAATGATAGGAAAAATGATCCAAAATCTGGAAAACAAAATGGAGTTACAGATAAATAGTCTGGAGACAAGAATTGAGAAGATGCATGAAATGCTTAACAATGACCTAGAAGAAATAAAATAGTCAATCAATAATGAATAATGCAATAACTGAGATCAAAAGCACTCTGGATGGAACCAACAGTAGAATAACTGAGGCAGAAGACAGGATAAGTGAGGCGGAAGATAGAATTGTAGAAATAAATGAAGCAGAGAGGAAAAAAAAAGAAATGAGGACAACCTCAGAGACTTCTGGGACAATGTCACACACCCCAACATTCAAATCATAGGAGTCCCAGAAGAAGAAGACAAAAAGAAAGTCCATGAGAAACTACTTGAGGAGATAATAGTTGAAAACTTCCCTAAAATGGGGAAGGAAATAGCCACCAATGTCCAAGAAACCCAGAGAGTCCCAAACAGGGTAAACCCAAGGTGAGATATCCCAGACACATATTAATCAAAGTAACAAATATCAAACAAAAAGAACAATTATTAAAAGCAAAAAGGGGAAAACAACAAATTACTCACAAGGGGGTTCTCATAAGGTTAACAGCTAATCTTTCAATAGAAACTCTTCAGGCCAGAAGGGAATGGCAGGATATACTTAAAGTATCTGAAAGAGACACGTGTACCCCAATGTTCATCGCAGCACTGTTTATAATAGCCAGGACATGGAAGCAACCTAGATGCCCATCAGCAGATGAATGGATGAGGAAGCTGTGGTACATATACACCATGGAATATTACTCAGCCATTAAAAAGAATTCATTTGAATCAGTTCTAATGAGATGGATGAAACTGGAGCCCATTATACAGAGCGAAGTGAGCCAGAAAGATAAAGACCATTACAGTATACTAACACATATATATGGAATTTAGAAAGATGGTAACGATAACCCTATATGCAAAACAGAAAAAGAGACTCAGATGTATAGAACAGACTTGTGGACTCTGGGAGAAGGCGAGGGTGGGATGTTTCAAGAGAACAGCATTGAAACACGTATATTATCTAGGGTGAAACAGTTCACCAGCCCAGGTTGGGTGCATGAGACAAGTGCTCAGGCCTGGTGCACTGGGAAGACCCAGAGGGATTGGGTGGAGAGGGAGGTGGGAGGGGGGACCAGGATGGGGAATACATGTAAAAAAAAAAAAAAAAAAAAGATACACTATGGTTGTGATAAAAAAATAAATAAATAAATTAAAAAAAAAAAAACTGCAATCCAGATTACTATACCCAGCAAGCATCTCATTCATATATGAAGGAGAAATCAAAAGTTTTACAGACAAGCAAAAGC